CCGGATTGGATGAGCTGAATTTCTAGGAAAGTGTAAAAGCAAATGTTCTTTACTAAAATCAACATTCGTTGGACACCATCAAACTGTTTCTAGGAGGGTTGCATATTCTGGACATCTAGAGTTTGGAAGTCAGAGCGTAAACTCACATTTACATTTAGACATTTAGTGTGTGTGTGTGTGTGTGTGTGTGTGTGTGTGTGTGTGTGTGTGTGTGTTCTTGACTGACAGAAAAATAAATGGTTTTTCCAGAGTTAAAGTAAATAATAATGGCGATTATAGCTCCATAAACAGCGTTGGATAATTTGTCTTCTGACCATATTCAGATCGAACAGATGTATATAAAAAGAAGTTAAACTAAACTTTCTATAACACAGTTTTCTGAGGCTTGTGTATTATAGTTAAAAGGTACAGCAGTAGAATAGCATCTGTCTGCCTTAGAGTCAACTATTAATGAAGAAGGAAGAAGATCAAACAGCTACTGTAGACTTGGCCTTTTAGGAGCAGCTGTGGCTGCTGTTGGCTTACACACAATCCTACAAAAAGACAACCTTCTATTTTAATTTGCTCTTAATTCCAGGTGCCACTTCAACCAGGCCTCATGCTAAGATGCGCTGTATTTTAGTTAAAGGCCGATTGTTGCTACATTTTGCCCTCTTACTCTTTTCTATCTTTGTAAATCGATCCAGGGAAGAGATAAGGGGAGGGATTTCATCCACAGGTAATGGATGATTTGTCAGTGAGGCACAGAGGCTGCTGTATGCTGAGAGTCAGACAAAAGCCAAGCTCTGACTGATAGATTGCAGCAAAGCCAAGGCTCCTCAATCAAATACGGGACCCTTCACTGCACAGGACCTTAGGAAAGAGGAGATGTGTATTCATCTCACACACACTTCATTTTTTCCAGGGAATCGCTTCTTTACCAAAAGCGTTTTTTATGGGGAGCATCACTGCTGCAAAGATCTAAACAACTTTTAGATCACGCAATAATGGAAGCAATAAGATAAATATACAACTACATGTTCCAAAAATGAGATTGCCTTCCACCTCTCGGGGCTATGGGGCTCCTCCTGAACTATTAAATGCAACAAAGCCTATCTATCTCCAGCTCTGCAGTTGCAATTCACAAAGGTTCACAGACAACCTAAAGGCTTTCTATAAATGCCGCCCCTGATAAATTTCTCTCATCCTGTAGATGACTTTTTTTCTTTAGGTGAACCAATACAACCCAAAGGCAGATGAACAAAGCATAATGATGACACCAAAATCACCCAGATGTCTTGCCGTTTCTCTCTGAAATCATTATTACTGTAGAAAAGTCAACTTCTTTTCTTAAAGCAACTCTTGAGTTATAGTTTTTGGACTAGCAGCATTTATCTTTCCTTTGTTTGTTTGTTTCAGGAGACTCCAAGATCTGGAAGCGGCCGCTACAAGAGGTGAGGCTCATATTTTCTAACCCCGACTGAGAGTGGAGTTTATCTGCCATAACATCACTAGTAATATGTCAAGGGAAGCACTAAAGGCCAGGATGAGAAAGAGCAGTTTGAGTAATTAATTACGAGAGCAGATTTCCTCTGAAATAGTCCGAGGGCCTTTTTCCTCATGTGTCACTGTTGTTGTTGTTTTTAAACATTTTTTCTGCTCTTCAGTGCTGCTACTGTCTTGCTATCATGGTTCAAGAAAGATGATGTGTTTGAACTCTGGTTGACAGGACACCATCTGGACCCTGGACACTTTGTCCGGGCCATCACTTCCCTGCTGTGGCTGGCAGGGAGTGCTCAGAGTAAATGATTTGCTTTGAAAGGTTTTGGTTCTAAAATGAGAGGTGCTGTTTGGTCAAGTTTGCTTTGGCATTTGATAAATGGCTTTCAACCTTTCCTTCTCAAACAGCCTAAAAAAACTCTTTCAGTTTCAGTTTGGACTGAAACCTCCTGGGAATAGCTCTACTTTGAGTTTTCATTTACTGGTTTTTACTGTTCTTTCTAAACAGGTCATCAAAATTAGTATTCTTTTAAGGGAAGGACTCTTGAAACGATGCATTTTCCCTTCATTTTCCATGATAATGAAGTACATCACAGAAAATTGTTTGTATCATTTAGAGTTGACGTCCCTCAGCGTGAGTCCGCCGTGCATTTATTTTGCATTATTTGCAACTAAAGTGAGCGGTTGTTGCCAACCCTGACAGTCAGGTTCACCAGCTGACATTCAATCTGGCCATGTAATTATGGCTGCTGCTCTCATCAGCTGGGTTAGCCTCACTTGGACACTCAGCTGTTCCGCTACGGATAACCCACCAGGTGGGCTGGGCAACACAAGATGGCTGAATGAACAATTTAAAAACATATGTGGCGCTCTGATTTACTTCCCTTTCAGACCATTTGGTTTTTCCTTTTTAAAAACTCATAGTAACATGACACTAAATTCAAATCTGATTTGCAATCCAATCAGCTGCATCTCATTTATCATATTAATTTGCCTACTAAGAAAAACAATATAACAAAAATTGCACATCAGAGCATTCTAACCTACCATGCATCTACATTTTAAATGTAATGATTTTACCTTTTACTGTCTAAAATCCAAAAACCAGCATTATCTTTCCTTGTCAGTGTTTTTGGTGCTTCCAGATGCTTCTTCCGAATTTGAATCGGAGCCCTTTTGCAGCTGACACACATCTATGAAAATAATGTGAGAAACAGCCACCAGGTCAAGGCTGTGTTTGCTAAAATTAACTTGTGCAGTGACACAAATGCCTCCTTCTGGTATGCACCCACCTGCTGAGAAGTCGGAGAGAAACACAGAGCAGTCTGAATGCACCAGGGGTTTTATTTTATTTGGGTGCAACTAAAAGAAAAATGGAAATGTGTTTACATTTAAGCATAAAAGAGAAAAACTAAGTAACTTTTTTTGAGTTGCAAAACTAAAAACACTATCAGTCACTAA